ACACAAAGGAGGGTCCTCCCAGAGCCCCTCAGCCCTCCCACACAAAGGAGGGTCCTCCCAGAGCCCCTCAGTCCTCCCACACAAAGGAGGGTCCTTCCAGAGCCCCTCAGTCCTCCACACAACGGAGGGACCTCCCAGAGACCCTCAGCCCTCGTACACAAAGGAGGGTCCTCCCAGAGACCCTCAGTCCTCCCACACAAAGGAGGGTCCTCCCAGAGACCCTCAGTCCTCCCACACAAAGGAGGGTCCTCCCAGCCCTCTCAGGCTCTCCTGAGCCCTCCCCACGCCCCTTGTCATCTTGAGGACTTGGCATAAAGAGTCCCCTGTTTGGCCAGTGTCTGGTTGGTGTGCTCTCTGCAGCTCCTGTGGGGTGGAGAAGGGAAGAGAGGAAGGGAGCCAGCTCCTTCAGATCAGCCCTTCAGGCCCTCTGCTGGACATTACCTACTTAATCCAAGCCGCACCCTGTCCCCTGGAAATCCCAAGGCCTTCCTTTTTCTTGTCTGTCTTTGTGTGTGTTGGTTTGAGACTGGATCTCCCTGTGTAGATTGTACTGGGATTCACTATGTAGACCAGGCTGGTTTTGAACTCACAGAGATCTCATTGCTTCTGCTACTGGAGTGTTGGGATCAAAGTCGTGTACCACCATGCCTGCCTTAATTTTTGTTTTTTGTAAGCTTTACTCATTAATCGTTGTTCAAATTGTTGCTACAGATTAGTCCAGAAATAAATATTGCTGTGTTTTCCCCCCAGCACTGAGAATCATAAAGCCCCTCACAGGATAGATAAGGACTTTTCCGCTGACCTATACTCCCAGCCCAATAATTATGCAATTTTTTTTGAAATAACAGATTTGAGGGCTGGAGAGATGGCTCAGTGGTTAAGAGGACTGGCTTCTCTTGCAGAGGATTTGAGTTTGATTCTCAGCATCCGCATTGGGCAGCTCACAACCACCTTAACTCCGGCTCCATAGAACTGCATGCCCTCTTCTGACCTCTGAGGGCACACCCCCACACACACCACGTGATATATACTTACACAGACACACGTAAATAAATAAAAATAAATCTGTAAAATAACAGCTTTGTTGAGCAATAACTCACATCCTATCCAGCTCACCCACTTTAAAGCATATTTTCCTCCAGCATTTTTTTTTGTTGTTGTTGTTTTCGAGACAGGGTTTCTCTGTGTAGCTTTGCGCCTTTCCTGGGACTCACTTGGTAGCCCAGGCTGGCCTCGAACTCACAGAGATCCGCCTGGCTCTGCCTCCCGAGTTCTGGGATTAAAGGCGTGCGCCACCACTGCCCGGCTCCTCCAGCATTTTTTATATCTGAATGTAAGTATAACTATCACCAAAGCCAACTTTAAACATTGCCATTACCTCCTAAGGATACTCTCTAGGGGTTGGAGAGATGGATCAGTGCTAAGAGTACTGGCTGCTCTTAGAGAAGACGTGGGTTTGTTTCCCAGTACCCTATGGCAGCTCATGACCATCCATAGATCCAGTTCCAGGAGATCCAGAGCCCTCTTCTTACCTCTGTGGGCTACCTGGTGTGCATACAATGTACAGGCACATACAAGCAAAAACACTTGTATACATTAAATTGATTTGTTTATTTTTATTTTATGTGTATGAATGTTTTGCCTGCACATATGTTAATATACCTTGTGCATGCCTGCTGCCCTGGGGGTCAGAAGAAGGTGTTGACTCTTCTGGAACAGGAGTTACAAATGATTATGACCCTCCATGTGGGTGCTGGAAACTGAATCCAGGTCCTCTGCAAGAGCAACAGGTGCTCTTAACCACTGAACTACCTCTCCTCTGTTTCAAATATAGAAAAGAAAGCCAGGCGGCGGTGGCTCACGTCTTTAATCCCAGCACACGGGAGGCAGAGGCAGGCAGATCCCTGTGAGTTCGAGGCCAGCCTGGGCTACCAAGTGAGTCCCAGGAAAGGCGCAAAGCTACACAGAGAAACCCTGTCTCGAAAAACCAAAAAAAGAAAAAAGAAAAGAAAAGAAAGTCTGTGGTCTTACTGGGTATGGAGGTATATGTTTGTAATTCCACTACTTTGAAGGCAGAAGCAAGGTGATTGCTGTAAGTTCAAGGATAACCTGGGCTACATAATAGCAAGTCCAAAACCAGAAAGGAAGGAAGGAAGAAAGGAAGGAAAACTTTATACTTATCATTCTTTATCTTTCTCAACCAACCCATTTTTTATTTTATTGTACAATTTTTGATTGACGAACCCGAGATTTCTCTAATGAACAGATTCTGCCTCAAAAACCCAAAAGAGGAAAAAAAAAAAAGTCAGAATGGTTTAGAACATGGAACAAGACAGGGGGGGGGGGAGGTCAGTGGCCTGCCAGTAAGTAGCTAATCTTCATGGCCCTTGGCAGGTCCCTTGTCCAGAAAGAATGGTGGCATTAGCCTGATCTTGTAGACTGTCTATCCTCTGATGCCCAAAAGTCAGCCACTGGACACTTGAATAGGTCAAAATAGCCAAGGGTTTCAGCGAAGGCAAACTTCAGGCCCCAGAAAAGTAATGTAGACAACAGTGACCGCAATTCAGTGACCTCACAGAGTGTCATCACCACAAAGTTAGTGGGAAACAAATGACTAATATTACTTGGTTGTGTGACCCCCAAAAGCTAGTGGGACTTTGTTTCTCTGTCGTGGGGATGGGACCCCGGGCCTCAAGCATGCTTTGGCAACGTCACTTAGCTACATCTTCAGTCTCATTGACGTTTTGTGTGTTCGAGGTCAGGTCTCATGTAGTAAGCTAATCTCAATCTCCTTGTGGAGCTCAGGATGGCTGCTTAAACTCTGGATCCTCCTGCCTCCACTTCCCAAGTGCTACAGTGCCAAGTGTGTGCCACCATACAGGGCTCACAATGATCTACTATTATTTTTATTGATGTTTAAATACTGTTTAATGACTGTAGGGTGTGGGTGTAGATGGCACAGCATACATGTAGAGACCAGAGGCCCACCTTCCAGAGCCCATTCTGTCCACCACACTCAAGGTGTTAGGCTTGCATCCTTGGGCCGATTTTGCCCTCCGAGCTGGCTTGCTGGCCCGTGGTTATTGATTTTAATGTTGAGTAAATTCAGGCAACTAAAATCCAAGTGAAGCCCGATTGGAATTTATGTGGTTGTTTCCCTCAACTCCACTGTTTCCCCACTTGAAAGAGACAGAAATAACCTTGTCGACAGCCCCGAGCTCCTGTGCATGGGGCTGCCACTTCTGCAGCCCTGAGCTCCTGTGCATGGGGCTGCCACTTCTGCAGCCCCGAGCTCCCTGCACGGCCGCCCCAGCATCAGCACCTCCTTACTTTTGAAGAGCTGAGTGTTCCGTTTAAGTTCCTCTTAAGGACTAGGCACCCTTCCAGATGCCCTCACATGCATCTTCTCTTGAAAGCTTCCCGGCAGCCCCATTAAGTTAGCATCAGTCCATGTCACAGAGGTGACCCCGAAACACAGGGAGATCCACTTTCTTGCCCAAAGACATGAAGTCACCTGGTGGATTAAGAAAATCTCCCCAGCACAACTTCGGTTCTCTTGACTTGTATTTGTTTCTTTCCATCCCTTCTCGCTCTCCCTTTTTGTGAGACAGAAGCACAGGCCAACCTTTAACTCTTGGCAATCCTCCTGTCTCAACCTCCCAAGTGCTGAGATTACAGTTGTGTGTCCCTATTCCTGGCATATGTTGTGTTCTTCTGTTGTTGAGCCAGACACCAAGGTTATCCAGAGATCTCTGTGAGTTTAAGGCCAGCCTGGTTTAAGTAGTAAGTTCTAGGCCAGCCAGGGCTACATAGTGAGACCCTGTCTTAGAAAAACAACAACTAAACCCCCAAAACAACAACATAAATGAAACCTGGATATGGAAAAGCAGAATTTATGAACATGTATGTTTTGTCTTAGAGTCACACAGTTGATGAGATCACTGACTCTGGCTAAAGGAAGACTAATAATTAATCTTAATGTCTACCCGTCTGTGGTTTGCATCCCTTTCCGCTTTCAAAAACGCATAAAAGAGGACCAATGAGAGAGGGATCAGTGGGTAAAAGACACTTGTCACCAAACCTGATGCATTGAGTTTGGTGTCTGGGACCCACGGAGTAGAGGCAGGGGACTGACTCCTTTAGTTTGTCCTGGGATCCTCACATAAGCCCTGTGGTGTGGGTGTCCATACACACGCACACCCAGGTAAGTGAAAAAGGTGCATAAAAGGCCCACCAGTAGGGTTAATCGCAAGATGACAGCTGAGAGGTTCTGAACCACCATTGCTTAAGGCAGCTTCCTTCTCCCAGCGCTGTCTCCGGAGCCGTTAGTTTCATCGAGAGAAGATGCGAATCTTCTAGGCCCAGCTGTCTGAAGCAGGTTCATTTCGCACTGGTTATCACCTTGCCTGGATCCTCTCGCCAGAACACTCAGTCATGTTACACGAAGCATATGCATTCCTTAGAGACAGCAAGAGAGAAAAGGCTAGACTCACTGAAGCTGGTACCCTAGGCTCAGGAGAGCTATGCCGTGGATGGTGTCTCATCTGTGTGTGCCCCGCTCTCCTGCAGCTGAAGGATAGGAAAATGACCCTCCCTGAGTCGTGTGCTCGGGGGCCACATACCACTGAGCTACAAAGCA